GCCACCAACCGCGCGCCGGGGACCTGTCCAGAAGGGCCCCGCGGCTCCTCCCCGCTCTCAGCTCTGCATCGTCCCCAGCTGCCCCGGCCCCGTGCTCAGGCGCTGAGGTGTGGGGCGCAGGCGTGGTCCCTGCCTGGCACCCCCCTGCGCATTCTCGTGGGAGGAGCAGACAGTAACCCCAAGGACGAATGGGACCCGCTGAGAGTGGCGGGTGCCCAGGGTGATGACAGGAGGGGACATCTGCTGGGGCTGATGCCGGGCCCAGCGCTGCTCTGGGGCTTTGCTCGCATCACCTCCAGCAATCGTGGGCCCAGCCCGGTCCCCAGAGAGGGAGCAGAAGGAGCCGGAGGAGGGCTGGCCTTCTGCACAGGTGGCAGCTGTCACTCAGGGCTGGAGGTCAGACAAGGCAGCCTGGGAGCTGGGAGGGTCGCTATCCAACTCGAGGCTTAAAGACTGGCTGCAGGGGTGTACTGGAGGCTGTCAGGTGTCACTTGTCCCTCAGGTGTGGGGCTGTAGGGACCTACAGCTGAGGCCCTCCCTCAGCACTGCCCCTGGGTAAAGGGAGTGCCCCAAAGTTGTGCTCGTCTCCTGAGGACACCCACATCCAATGCTGCTTCCTTCCAGGTGCTAAGGCCAGTCTTGGGCCTCTGCATGGGACAGCTCCCAGGAGCCGGGCTGGGGTCCTAGGAGGGCCCAGGCCTCTGGAACCACCGTGCAGTTTAACTTCCTCCGTCTGCTCCCCGCCCGCCCACCTGTCTCCACACACAAAGCTGACCCAGCCTGGTCACTGGCAAATCCAATGGCGCAGGCGCGGGGCCGGGGCGGGGTGCAGTGGAGATGAGCGAGGGCCCTCGCGGACGGGACTTGCCGGTGCCCACGCCAGGGAGGGTGGAGAGGACAAGAGTCCAGGGGAGGCCTGTGGCCGGGTCTCTGGTGCCGGGGGTCTGGGGGGAGGGCGGGGCTCCTCCCTCACTCGGGGGACAGACACGCACTGTCGTCTTTTCCTGCCTCCTCTCTTCTCTGGGGCTCCCCCTTCCCGCTTTCCCTCCCAACACCTCTGTCTCAGGTTCCCAACTCCCCCTTTTTATTGCCACCTCCCTTAAGGCCTGACTGGAGGCCACGCCCCCTCCAGGATGCCTTCTGACCTCTGGAAAGCTCCAGGCAGCTGCTTCACCGGGACTGGACTTCTGTTCCGAGGAGTGAGGGAAAGGAAAGGCAGCCCCCATCCGAGGATGCTGGTCTGACCTCGCCCTCTGTCCTTGGGGTCCAGGCTGGGGACAGTAGAGGGATGCTGCTGGCGTTGGAAAGGACCAGCTGGGAAACCCTCGTACCCCAGCCGCTGAGACCTGAGGGGGTTGAGGCCAGGCCTGAGGCACGGCGGGGAGTCCTTCCCCGTCTGCTGCTCCCCGCTCCGCGGCCGCGGAGCAGAGGGCAGCAGGAGGCCATGGCGGAGCGTGCCTACACCTCGGTGCCCGCGAACCCGGCAGGTGCGCTCCAGCCATTGGGTGCAGCTTCCCAGGGAGCGAGGCTTGACCTGGAAAACGAGGGGGTCAGGGCAATAAGAGTGGGGTTCAGCTCCGAGCCTTGGGCAAGAAGCCCTCCACTGGACCGAGGGCCCTCAACCCCGCCTTCCTCAGTTGAGTCCCAGGGGGCGTGTCCCAGGGGGCGTGTCCCAGGAGGGGCGTGTCCCAGGAGCCCGGGCCCGCTCTGCAGTCTGCAGGCGGCGGAGGAGGGGCTTGGCGGGTTTTGTTTTGTTTTGTTTTTTTGCAAGTCAGTGTCACAGTCGCCCAAATACCCTCATCTTTATTGGCTGTGAATCTGAGTCTCTGACAATCAATTCCAGCCATCAGAGCAGTCCT